TGAATTTCAATATTTACGGTAAAATGCCACAAGGTGGCATACTTTAAACGTATTATTCACGCAAAGTTTTACGCCGATATAATCATTGTTGCTTGATTTGCATAGTGGAAAGTGAAAGAATCAGATGGAATTGGAAATGGTGTTATATGGGAAATAGGCGTGGTTGTAGTCCGATTTAGCCCATTTTCGCAATATAACATAGAAATATGAAAAGAACGTTATGCACCGAATTTGGATGAAATCGGTTAAGCAGATCCCAAGATATGGGTTTTCACCTAAAAGTGGGCTGTGCCACGCCCACTGTCTAATTTTGAACGCGGTTCCTATAAAGTCATCTCATACCATTACAGTGATAAAATTTAATGTCTCTGGCGTGTTTAGTGCTTGATTTATCGCGCTTTTAGTAGTTTTTAACAGTACCGTTATATGGGGAGTGGGCGGAGTGTCCACCCGATTTCAACTATTTCTCAACCATCAATAGAAGTCCTAAAATCATTTGCTTCCAGTGAATTTTGTTATTATAGCGTTCGCGGTTTAGGAGATATGCACATTAAACCTATTAGAGGCGGGATCACGCCCACTTTTAAAAACAAATTTACTGCAACAGGTTGGAGTATACAAATTTTGGTATGTTGAGTCAAAATATGTATGTTTTAAATAAATTTGCAAAATTTGGCTGTATCTATTTAAAAACACTTTGTATAGTTTCGGGATCCAAAGCTTTATATTGTGATTGGCTTTTATGTCCAGTCATTTAGCTTAAATTAGGTAAGAATCTCGGAATTCAGATACCCAGCTGTAAGTCTGTAAATACTTGTATATTGACGCAACTATAAAATTTCAGGTCAAAGGTCACAAAAATCGGTTTTGCGCTTTTTGTAAATATCTCATTTCTATGGGTTTTGCTTTGTATTTATTATCAATATTAGAATATTCTCTACAAATTTTGTTTAAAAATTTTCATACGGTGAACCGTTTTCGAGATAGAGGGCAGAGCGCGGTCACGGCATCACTTCAGGTCAACCGGTGCCTCCGGTCAAAACGCCATATATAGTTGTGACCTTTGACCGAAATTTAGTTGCGTACACCCTACCATATGTAGGTTTGAGACAACTTTTAGGGTGTCAATATACAATGTTACAGTTTACAGCGTTATCTAATTCCGATGAACTTACTATAATGACTGAACTAATAAGCGAAATCGTAGAACGGCTATAAAACTATGTGGCTAAAAGCATGATGGTTTGTTGAATACTTTTCTCATACTACATTTCTCACAATAATACTTATACAATAAGTATTTTTGGTCAAAATTTCTGTCATTTATAGAATTATTTATCACTTTAGTCTAAAGTACTTTAAAAGAATGTTTGTAGTTTTTAAACCATATATTTTCTAGCAATCCTGTTGTTTGTTTGCTGAAAGAACAAGGGGTATTGCAGAATATTTCTTATGTGGACTTTGATTAGATGTACATACATATGTGTATCTACTTATGTTTTTGTTAGCAAAATTTTACATTTGTTATATCTCAAACTTCTTGCTACAAGTATAATAGTTTTTTCACCTAACGGTTGTTTGTATCACCTAAAACTAATCGAGTTAGATATAGGGTTATGTATATATAAATGATCAAGATGAAGAGACGAGTTGAAATCCGGGTGACTGCCTTTCCGTCCGTCCTCTGAGCAAGCTGTAAATTGAGTAAAATTTAGATATCTTTATGAAACTTTGTAGACATGTTTCTTGGTACCGTGAGACGTTGGTATTGCAGATATAATCGGAACTGCCACGACCACAAAACGCCATTAATCAAAACAAATAAATTGCCATAAATAAGCTCCACTAAATTTTGATTAAGATGGCCGTGGTCCCGCCCTAATAGGTTTAATGCATATCTCCTAAACTACTAAAGCTATAATAAAAATTCACTGGAAGCACCTCTACCTACGGTGTGAAAATGGGTGAAATCGGTGACAACCCTCCGCATATAACATTTGTTAAAACTTCGAAAAGCGCGATAAGAGACTATTTTATCTCTGGGATGGATAATATAACTGGAACCACGTTCAAATTAGATAGTGGGCGTGGCACCTACTTTTAGGTGAAAACCATATCTTGGGATCTGCTTAACGATTTCAACCAAATTTGGTACATAACATTCTTTTCTATTTCTATGTTATAGTGCGAAAATGGGCGAAATCGGATTACAACTCATGCCTATTTTCCATATAACATCATTTAAATTTCATCTGGTTTTCACTTCCACTATGCAAATCAAGCAACAATGGTTTCTGTATAAATAAGCTAAGTCAGTAAATAACCACCCTTACTCGGAAAAACTGGCGCACCCTAATAATGTCAGGGTCTACGTAACCGGAACGGACCAGATTTGTTCCGGCCAAGGACTTCAACTCGAATTCTGCCGCTACAACAACAACAACACCACACAGGACAATACAACACACCGAAACACCGCACGTGTACATCACCAGTTAACAAAGGGATGGTCCGCAGCTTTTACCTCATTTGAAATAAGCGATCCTGCGCGCAACTCTATGATTATATAGATGCGGCGCGGTTAACCTATTGATCAGCCGAAGGAGAATCCGGACATTACGGAATTCAAAGAGACACTCAGTTCCTCACCTTCGACCGTTTATAAATAATAAATTTAATTGTAACATTTATATCTTGTTGTTGTTATAAAATTAAATCTCCTTTATTTCGTATCCGAAATCAACCGCAACTTCACTTACATATATTTATAATATTTAACGCGAGTGTAATTAAATTATCAACAATTTAAATTCAGTGGTGGTGTTTCCTACTAAATTGGGCACCTAGTTTCAAAACTATGAAAAATTTCGCTATTTAGACTCCAATAAAGTCTTTTACATTTCGCTTTTGCTGGCAACTTCTCTTCTAAATAATAATATGCACCCTCCTTATAACGGTACTTTGCTAGTGAAGCAAAGTGTACTTAGCGAGTTCAGTGGTTCCTTCGAAAAGTAAAAGTTGAATTTTGAAAGACTTTCGGTGATTTCTAAAGTATGCCTAAAAATATTCGTCAGTTAAAGAACGTAGACTTATCATCAATTTGCATTAAAAAAATAAATCATACGCGGAAAGAGCCAAAATAGTGTCCGTAGTCGTTCTACAATACAATCAGTTATTGCGTTTTAAATATGAAGGCCGAGTAGAAAACAAAGCAAATGTGGACGGCCTTCAGTTCTCGCGGATGGAGATCGGCTAAAATTTAGGAATGTACCAATTCAGCCAAAAAGTTAATCCCTAAACTGTGCGAAAAGCTATCATTAATGCTGGGTTTATGTCTCGCAGGCCTCTCGAAAACCACTCGTAAACATAGTAAACACTTATTATCTGTCAATATGGAACCCATTTGTTATTGTGCATATAACAAAATTGTGTAAAAATAAAATGCTTATTTAAAGCAAATATTAAAATAATTAATATAAAATAAATATCTAGAAACATTGTAGTGAAGTGTAAGTGTATAATAAGTGCATAATATAAAGAAAATTGGAAAACTTAGCAGTGGAAATATAAGTGTATAATTCATTTTAAACCGCAAAATACGTACTTTAAATTGTTGAAATTTTCAACTTTAAACGTAAATATCTCGAAAACTATAAGTTTCCCTGCTATATCTATATATATTCTTGATCTGGAGATCTCCTCTATCCGCCCATACCATTTTATCCCCGAAAGCTGGGCGATATACTAATTATAATGTTATTAAGCCGACCCGAAAATTAACTATAATTGAAATTGTAAGATAAAATTTGTGTTCGAAACTATAAGTTTCAAGTGGCTATAATAATATATTTTTATCTGGAGAATCTCCTCATTCAACCATACCCTTCTTAACCCTGAATCTGGATGGTATACTAAAGTTTCCCAGAAAATTCCATATTATTGAATATATAGACTGGAATTGAGTATTCCTGGTATTCGAAAGATGTCAAAACTGGTGGAAAGCATGAACCGAAGATGTGAGATGATTAAGAATGTGGATATAGCATAAAATGCTAACCAATTGCGCAATTTTATTCTACTTTTATTCACTCTTTAAGTTGTATTATTTATGTGTCCCAGCTGCCATATAGTTATTGATGTTTCGTCTATTTTATTTATTTTTGATATTAGAATAACTACTTTTGTGTTTTAGTAATATGAAAGTTAATAATTTTAAAATAAAACTGATGTCTCTCTAAATCCATAAGTGATACACTTATGAAATAATAACCGTTTTTATTTGAATACCAAGCGTGCTATTGTTATATTATTCAATATTTACCATATATGCTCAATTAGCATTTATACCCGAGCAGTTTCCCGAGCAGCCAAATATCAATATATTAATAATTAGTGCGATACCACTAAATTGTACTGTCAAATGACATTATTAATTGTCATTTTATTGAAGAAACTTGCATCAATAATGATATAAATCAACCAAAATAACGAAACTTAGTATAGTAATTATATCAATAATAACGCTGGTGTCTTACTAATGTACCAATTGTTATAATTGTCATAGTAACATATTTTATTATACATAAGTTAATTTTCTTTTAACTTGAAAATTAACATAGTATAATATGTATGTAGTTTACTTAAATAGTTTCCACTGTCTATAAGTTTAAAACGTCCCTTTACAGGACAATTTTGACTCAAAGACAAATAAAGCGTCTCGTGGTCATAACATACAACCTTATTCCAAACATTTGATAATTTCAATAAATTCCATTATTAACATTTATAAATAGATTTCCAATTTTTAAATTAATCAAAATTTTAAGGCCCTTCTAGTCCCAACCGTTTTCTAATGATAAAACTCTATTTTTAATTGATGTGTTCAGGTAAGGTCTCAAAACCCATTCAGTATCCAGGCTAAATTCATCCAATATTCCAATTTTATTTGATACAATTTTAGTTGAAATCAGCCCAATCTCTATTAATTCCAACTCTTTATTTTGTAATTATATAAATGATGACGCAGTGATATAAAGTCATCATGATTAGAAAGTAATTACTCTTTAGAATCCCCTTTCGCGTGGAAAAAGATGTTTAATATATTTACTGCTCGCTCTCCAATTTTAGTTTAAAATTGTGAAAGATTAAATGAGGACTTTGTTCGCTCATTTTCCAATAAAAGGTACGTCATGTCTCATAACAACACTAGAAATATTAAAAAGCGGTAGGGCCGTTTGTAAGTCTTATGACAATATTATCAGGTATTCCCGATGTTCGTGTACAATTATAATATCACTTCGTTAGAACACATAATTTTACTAATTGCCTTAAATCATTTTGCCTCTATTCATTCGCTGTGCATTTGGAAAATTAGTCGTAATTCCTTTACACATTTTAACCTTGCAGAAGGGTTGTGAGATGTCTTGATCATAATTTTGGGTTGCAGGCGTTCCATATTTGTATTCATCGTCACCTAGATCAACATCTGAATGAAATATTAATATCATTAATAAATAAGATATTATCAACAAAACATTACATTATGAATATACATATACTAATCCTGAATCCTAAGAATCCAGTAAGTTATCTAAAGTTTTAAAATTGATATAGTTGGTAATACCGAAGTGAAGTCTCATTTATATGAAGTCTCTCAATATGGAAGCAGATAAAATTCCTTTCTCTCTTGACTGGTCAAATTTTAAATATACAACTTAATAAATTTAACTATTTATTACACTTTAATGAGGTGTTGGATGCATTAGAAGTATCTTAACTTAAACTAGCGAAAAGTAAGTAGATTTAAAAAAATTGATTGTAAAATCCTACAAGTAAAAGAATCAACTGTATTCCTGTGTGTTACACAGCTTTTTTTGATGCAGAGATGTAAATAAAAGAAATGTAGTATAATTTTGGGAAAAGGTATTTGCAATTGAAAACATTAATAACAACTTTCAAGAATATTTTCAAAACAAAAGTTTATTACATATTTAGTGCTTTTCCTCACGACTCACCTCACAATTCAATTGTATTCATTAACAATAATAAAAATCAAAACAATCTACAAAGTAATATATAATATTTACAAAATAGTCTAAATCACCCACAACTAAATATTTAGCACTTTCTGCAAGGCGTCCTATATACATATGTAATTATCAAACAAATATTAACAAATTAAATAAATTAAATTAAATAATACTATTTTAATTACTCACTCTATAAACTTTTTTTATATTTGTTAACTTTTTACATTAAATTTAAAGCTTCTAAAGCTTTAACATATGTTTGTTGAAATGACCTTTGACATCACTCGGTTGCACAAAATACAAAATTTCACTGTTCAACTGTTACGCAAATATTCTATAAATATTTTTAATAAAATTTAAAACATTTAATAATATTTAGGAGAAAATTATATAAATTTAATATTTTGGAATTTTAATTATCGAAAAATATTATAATATGTAAAAAAACATTCTTAAAGTTATAAATTTTAAAACATAACACGGCAACACACTGCAGCAGATTTGAGGCATTTGGACGTTTTAGTAGTAGAAAATTAGTAGGCAACCCGTTCAAAGTGTCCCTTTAGTAGTAGAATCTTTGGGGGCAACCAGTGCCTAATGTCAAAGTTTTGTGTGTATTAGTAAAAACTTAGGATTGGTTACTCGTAGGTTTATACAATGAAACAATTTCAGTATGATCACATTTAACTTGGAAGAATATAGTATCCAATAGCAAGAAAATTAGGTTTGCGAAACTAAACAGGGTATATGTATAGATTAGGTCCCCCAACTAAGGAAGTCTCAAATATAATTTTTTTTTTTAAATCGTCTTATTTTTACGCGAAGATTACAAATCCATGAGTTAAAAGTGAATTTTTTCAAGAATTTATGTTTATATTTACAAATATATTTAACGAATTTTGCACATATTCTTCAAGTCACTTAGTTGTGGATGTTGTCTAGCGGCAAAATTCTGCATAATTCAGCTCACTTAGATGTAATTACCAGTTCAGCGAGTTTAACATTTTCTTGTGAAAAAAATAATGCTACTAAACTATACATTTATCCTAAACAAGCTAAGCTTTAGAAAAATCTGTGTGTGTGCGTTTCGTCAACCCCAGAAGCAACCAGGCTGCACAAGGCTCTGGCAAGTGATAAGACGAACTCAGCAATGCACATGATTTCAATGTCAATAATCTAAACGGGTACTAGATCACAATAATAACGAACACAGCAAAGGTAGTGCCTATCTAAAACCTCTGCCGTACTTTGGGTCCGGCACCCGGTTTCAATGCAACTCCACATTCAACTGACAAAACGACAGTTCTTCCCGCATTTAGGTATCAACCACAACCACCACGATACTCCCCGAAGGGCCAGTCCGCATGAGCAGGTTGGAGCGAACTCCAAGGGCCCCTGCTCCCCGTGGTACCAGAATTGAGTCTCCGGGCAGACCTCGTAGCTGAAACTACTACCAGTTGAGCATCCATACTGCTCTGGACTGGTGACCAGGACCTGAGTAGGGGACAATAGGATTCGTCTTGATGCAACGAGAGGATGATCTCAGCGTAAAGTACAATTCCCCTTGTCGTAAATGAGCTCTTTGAGTTGCTAGCTAACAATGAGATTCGTTGTCAGGGGAACGCTTTCGACATTGCTATTTTAGCAATAGGAAAATATAATATAAGACACTCCGCGTTAACTGTATGTTGATACTCGCTTCTAAAAAACTACCTAATTTTTATGTGCTTTAAATAATCCCATAGTTTTTTCAATGAAAAATCGGATTTAAAAAACTTAAGATGTTACAGAATATTCAAGATTTAAGAAAAAAAGTACCGGAAAAATACATTCAAAAGTTAGCATGAAGTTAATAAAAGGTTTCCTTAATTCGACTTATTTATACAGTGATAAAAGGGAACTAAAAATTTTGCAACTGAACAAAAATAAATAAAATGGAAAGTAGCTCCGTTTTGCAATAGTGGCCTTTGGCCGCGCTTCAAAACAAATAACCAAAGTCCATCCTACACTGGATCTATCGCGTAAAACCATTTTTTGAATTGGCGGCCTACGTGCCTAAAAAAAACCATGGTCAGACCAACACCGGAATTCACCTAAAGATAAGGGAAATACCAAAAGATTTTGCATTATCTATCGCACGACAAGGGTTCTGTTTTTGCGATATAATGTTTGTTATTTTATTTAGTTTTGTTCCTTTGCAAAATATGTGAAGTCATACAGACCCTGCAACATTATATTTGTAAATAAAAATAAAAAAATGAAATGCTTAAAAATTTTATAAAACGCAAAATTTTATTTCGTAACGCAGAAAAATATACGTACCCCTAACAAGAATGCAGTTATGTTTGATTAACAGAAAAGTCTACAGCTATTATAATAGTTCGTTAGTACTTATTGGAGTTACCTTTGCTTGCATTACCGTCTCCAATCAGTTGTTCATGAAAAATACGAATTTTTTTGTGATTACAGGCGTTATTTGGTTCCACTCATACACCAAATCATCCTTTGTTTCCTGTTTGTTTTAAGTTTGCGAATCTTATTTCAACAAACAAATGTTTTGTCGTCTTAAGTTGGTAATAGCGGAGGCGATTCGGTACATTATAAAGTGAACACTCCCTGACAATATAGAATGTGCTTTAGATCACTATCCTCTTACAAATACCAGGCGCCACCAAGTCCCAACTTGCTTGCGGAACCTTGCAAGTTGATTGTCGGGGACTGCAAATAAACACAATGGTCTATATTTGTTTCCACAAAGTCCAGTTACACAACTCCCTTCGGCGGCATGTGACCCCATACCTTGTCTGAACTACTGGTGTGGTAGAAGCTCTTCGCACACAATTTTTTCTTTACCATCACAATTAAATAGTTTAATTTATTTTTATCACTAAACAATACGAGTATATTCGCCCAAAATCGACTTGATTTCTCGGTATACTGCACTACAAAGTACAGTCGAGTTTATGTTAATTTCACTCATAAATGCTTTTCCGGGCAGTCAGCTACGTAAGCCAGTTTTTCTAAAAACGTTTTGAACTCTTTTGGAATTCACATTAACATTGTTGTTTAAACAATTATTCAGACCCTGCTTGGACGAAAGCAATAAGTTAACTGTCATCGAAATCACTTACCGGTAGGCCAAAGAAACGGGCTGTTTCGATGGGTTTGAACCATAGGGAGAGGGGGATTAAGTGAGTTGGACTCATTGCGCATGCAAAGACGTGATTAGTGTCATGTGACGACTCATTGCATGCAGGCCATTGATTTTGTATGTCAGGGTCTATTCAGAACGAAGTTGCGCTAGGGTCACTTTTGCTTCACGCGGATTGTTTTGCAATAGATGGTGTTTGGACTCCAAGTACGTCATTCACCAGGAGTGAGTCGTTCAATACAGCTCCACTGTGAAAATCGATAAGTGTTTGTCGGAAATTGGTCGCGTTCGAAATTTGGTCGGTATATTGTTCCTGTTTGTCGACGAATTGAATGAATGTTCTTCTGATGTTCCTAAGAGGCGGCTCAGCTTCAAACAAGTGACTGCAGAGAGCAGAAATTGCTTGGAGGAAAGTTTATTAGGCTCCTTAACTAGGAGCGGCTGTATCCAGGCGACCATATTGGGCCGGCATAGTTAACAACGTCTCTTTGTCTTTGACCCAAGAGCTACCAGACACCGACTTGAGGATCTTGCTGCGGCTTTGTACATCTGTGACAACCGCGGATGTGTGTGAAGTGAAGGAGTGCAGACAGTCAAATGTGACACCTAAACTTTTAGTTTTGTTTATGGTTGGAATTTTGACTGAACGAAATTTTGAGGTCCAGTCTGTACTCCTTTGTTAAGTTTGTAAATACGAGTAGGGTGGCCGTTGATTTGGTAGGGGAGAGTTTTAAGCCCTTGCAGCGAAGAAGCGAGAAAGTTTTGAAATTAGGCGTACACTTTTGGCATCAATTCCATTGATTTAGAGAGCGTAGTTTGTTAGATGTCCTTAAGCAGCATTGTATGATTAACTTTATCAAAAGCTATTGACAAGTCCAACGCTATGAGGACAATCCTCTCACAGGACGGTTTCTGGTTGAGGCCATGGGCTATCTAGGCGTTTATGACGCACTTTACGGATGCCCTGCTGGTGTTCAGGTAGGTTCAGATGGTGTGAGAAGGTCAGGCACAAGGCCTCAATTGTTTTCACTGCTGGGGAAAGAAGAGTTATCGCTCGCCTAAGTTGGCAGTCTTATCAGGTTTCTGTAATGAAACAATCCTTCCGATTTTCACACATTCCAAACAAAGTTATTTAAATACAATATATAAATTGGTCCGAATTGTAAATTAAAACCATTATCGAATCCACTTGCAGACACACTAAAATTTCTTACAAATTGGTCCAGCCGTTTAGGAGAAGTTCAGTGACATACACACGTACTGTAGAATTATATATATGTATAAATAGTGGGAAAATAACTATAA